AAAAAAAAAAAAAAAAAAAAACAACTGAGGAATAAGACCATCTAGTTTGTTTTGCCAGAGAGTTCAAACTATTGTAAGTACAAGGCAAATAAGGATTTTAGATAAGAAATCCAAATCAGATAAGCAGATTTTCATCATGGTAAATGAAACAAGTAAACCAGTTAGAAGTTTTTGCAATAATCCAACAAATGCAGAGGAATATGCATCAAGAAATTGAAGTAGACACAGGACAATCAGAAGTTCAAGGTCATCCTTGGAACACAGTGAATTTAAGGCCAGCCTAGGTTACATGAGCCCCTGTTGAAAAAAAAAAAAAAAAGGTTGTCCACTGGCTTATCACTTCTCTGGCTCCAAGGATAGGTGAGAACACTAGAAGTATAAAGAAGTTATAAATTTCTAAAGACAATGAGAATCCTTTCTGAAACAATGTTGAACAATAGCATGACAAAGAAACACATATGTACTTCTCTAGATCAAATGAAACAAAAGACATGAGTCAATTAAATGCAGTGTGTGATTCTGTACGGAAATCTGTACTGGGGAAAATGCTGCAGCAGGCATTACTGACAATTGACAAAATTGAAGACAGAATATGCCACCTACTGCATCAAAGATGATCATAATAATAATGGCACATTGGCCATCCCCTACCATCAGCTATGCCAGGTATCAAGTCCTGGGTCTTTAAATCAGAGAGTTGAAGTGTACAGAGGGGAAGCCTCCAGGCTTCAGCATGGATAGAAGGTGAGTGGTCCAGACCTGGTTACTCTAAGGGATGGGAGACCTAACCACTTGACTTATGAATTCTATCCAAAATTCCTATGTTGGGCATCTCACTCCATAGACATGGCTTCATGGATGGCTGCTGCCCTGGTCTCAAACCTTTCAACTCAAATCGCTTTGGTTCTTTTTGGCTCCCTTCTCTACAAACTTACATCTATTTTCCTTGTTTCTGCTGGCCAGTTTTTCCTCATCTATCCATGTAATATGTATTACATCCTCTCTTAATGTCTTCTTTCAGTTTTTAGTATACCAGGCACCCTAAAGTGTGTAAAGCAGTAGCTCATTGTCCATTCAATTTTTTTCATTTTGGATATTCTAGAAATTTTTAAAGAAATTCTATAAATTAGTATACAGATAAATTTCAGTTTTTTTCCCCTCTAAATCATTTAAAAGTCCTTTTTCTTCTCCTCCTCTTCTTCCTCTTCCCCTCTCCCTCCCCCTCCTTCTCCTTCTTCTTTTTGGAGGACTAGGAATTGAGCCCAAGAACTTGCATTGTTATATAAGTCCTCTACAACTGAGCCACATACCTAACCTCAATTTCCAAAACTTCTGAATTAGTCTAGGCAGACTAGGAGCAGACACAGGAAGATTCTCTGTGAGTTCAAAGCTAGTCTGGTCTACACAGAGTTCCGGACCAGCCAGATTATATTATG